ATTGGCATAGCTGTGCTGACCCATGTTTTGATATGTTTCATTTACGAAAAGAGAAAATGATGGATTTCTAATATGTTCATCTCGTCATGGCACTAGTATTTATATCTGCTGTATACTGTCTCTTGTTTGTTTAAAACTGTATTGCTGTGGTCCAAGGTGGCCAAAAAAGCAACGAAATAAAGTATCTAAGTATCCATTTGCAAGACAAATGCTACTTATTACAGACTGTAATAACTATTATCTGCTAATTATTAACAGTTTGTCCCTCGAGCAAGGTGACCCTTAACTCCATGGTGACCCGGACCCAAGATTCTTCCAAATATATCTGTGAAACCGGCGAAGATTTGTATCGGCCGGGCTTTAAAATGTGTATGCAAGGTATACGTATACGTATGCGTTTGGTTTGTGTGTGTGTGTGTGTGTGTGTGTGTGTGTGTGTGTGTGTGTGTGAAGCCCCGAATAAAAGAAAAGCCCAAAAGCACACCAAAAATAACCCAAAAACTTTGCTTAGAGAGCACAGACAGTATCCATTTGCGAGACAAATGATATCCAATACGCCGTTAAAAAAACAGTGCTGTTATTAAATGTGTCGCCCTGGCTGATATCTGTTATGAACAGGACGCGATGTACTCCAATAGCTATAAAGGACTCAAAACTTCGTGTCGGAAATTACGTTTCAGAGGGTTAAAATTTCAAATTTTAACCACCTTCGGCGCTCTGTATAGTATATGATGAACTGTTCATTAAAAATCTCACTCCCCCCTCCCCCCATTTAAGATTTCCATTAAGATTGGTACATTAGCACAGCTTGCGATGTATAGTGGTACTGCACGCTGTACTATTTGATCGAAATACGTTGCAGTTCCCATATACACTGTATCAGGGTGTGTCAGGGTGAAATACGGCCGGGTCCCCCAAATACGCCGTATTAGCGAGAACACCGTATTTGGTTATGCTGTATTTCACCCAAATACACGTGTATCAGGGTGAAATACGGCCGGTTTACCAAATACAGCGTATTTGACCTGAAAAACACTGTTTTTCACTCAAATACGCTGTATTTGGCTTTTGACTGGTATACCCCGCCATACCTCTCGTCATGCTGAGGTCTCGTAGGCGGGGCGTGCTCGGGCAGTATGTATGGCGTTAGCACGCCTCGGTAAAGGAAGACATCTAATTTTGGACGTGTTGTAGATGTCACAGGTACCGGTCGTGCCGGGAGGGGGACCCGGAGGAGGACCGCCGGGAGCGGTGCAGCAAGCCGCCGGGGCTCAAGGAGGTGGACCGCCGGGAGCAGTGCAGCAAGCCGCCGGGGCTCAAGGAGGTGGACCGT